AAGTTGAAAATTACAGGTGTGAATGAACCGTGGGGCTCATATGCGCATTTTTCGAACGCTACATCTCAGTTAGACATTGATATTTTTATTTACCAAATTATTCAGGCCACCGGTCAGAAGCCCCACAGCCGTCTTCAAAACAGGTGATGTTTTCGTATACGATCCCTGCTTCGTGGAAACTTGTCTCCGTACTTGCTTCAGTCGCTGTAAATTCCGAACGGAGGACGAGGAGACAGACTGGAATCGAGGCAAGTGGAAGGCCGTCGAGCTTTCCAAAAGGACAAGTAGAATACTGACGATCGTCACGAAGCGCGTCATAGCAACCCAGACGTCCTGCCAGTTGAGTGTGTGAAGCATTTGTCGTGAAATGATACAAGCCCGTAGTAGTACCATCGGGAAGAAACGAGTGCGATCGCCCCGCCCCCTGCTTGTTCTAGCGAGGGTTTCGAAAAAATCGTCTTTCCTTTTCCTTGCCCCTTGCGCGCAGGACAGGGTCGACTAAAGGGAGCAACACCTGCGTGCTGATATCGGCCGTGGCTACATGGATTCCACCAATATACATCGTGAAAGGGATCAGATTGACCGGGCAAAAGCCCCACTAAAGCATCCGACCTCCCCAGCCTGAGTCCATTCTTGCTCCCTCCCTCCCTTCCTCCATCCTTTTTTCTCACACACCCTCTCTTCCTTTCCTTCATCCCTTGCCAGGCACGACTACATGTCGTGGATAAGATCCATTGTGCCGCTTTGTTTACTTCTCCTCCTTTGCACGCCAACCCTCCACTCCGCCTTCGTACTAAACGGTCGACCATGTGTACGGCGCCTCAGTAACTCGGTTTCACATTCAAAGCCAATCGGTGACTCTATATTCCCACTGAAGGCCACAATCCCTCCCAATGATGACGCTGGCTCTTTCAAAAAGAATTCCGGCTCGAGGGAAGACGGAGTTGACTTCTCAAGCGCATCCGGTCGCGACGTCGACCTCTCTGTCGGCGTGTGGCCTCGGGAAAACCGGCAATTGCTAGGATTGCTGGGGGGTTTAGGTTTTCTGGAAACAGCATACTTGACGTACCAAAAGCTAACAACCGATGACTTGACCTCTCTATGCACCTCCGTAGCGGGGTTAAGCATGAGGTGTGGCGATGTGTTGAATTCGGAGTACGCGAGCTTTTTAGGAGTGCCTCTTACATTGCCTGGGGCGGTGGCTTACGGGACTGTGACAGCGTTGGCCTTATGGCCGATCCTTGCCGGGAACGAGGGAAGCCGAGAGCGTGCAGAGGCGGACCTCAACAGCCGAGCCCCATTGTTAACGGTCACGACGGGCATGGCTACTTTCAGCGCCTATTTGATGTGGGTTTTGGCCACACAAGTCCGGGAACTCTGCCCTTACTGCCTGGCGAGCGCCTCTCTCTCGTTTAGCATGGCCGCCTTGACCTGGGTCAAGCAGGTGGAGCCGAACGCAACCAAATCCTTGGTGTATAAGGCGGGCGCCGTGGTCGTCACGGGTCTTTTTTCTCTGGGGGCATTCGCCTACGCGAGCGCAAGGATCATGGTCATGAGCCAGGGACCGGGGGAGGGAGGGGAGGTGGGAGGGAGTAGGCCCCCGCCCATCACCACGCACTCGACGGCCCGCAGCGAGGCCTTGGCTCTTCGTCTGCAGGATCTAGACGCCCGCATGTACGGGGCCTTCTGGTGCTCGCATTGCTACGAGCAAAAGCAGTCTTTGGGCCAAGAAGCCTACCGGAGAATCGCCTACATTGAATGCGCGCCCGACGGTTTCGCGAGCGAGTCGAAAATCTGCAAAGCGCGGAAAATTCCTGGATATCCCACCTGGGAGATCAAGGGAGAGTTGTACCCAGGGGAGAAGAGCTTGGACCAGCTGGAGGACATCGTGGACGGGAAAGTGCCAGTGCCCCCGCCCATGGAGATTCCGGCCAAATGAGAGGCGAGGGGAGGGAGAGGGGGACATGGGGAGGGGAGTCGTGTACAAGAAGACATGTGAAACGAAAGTGACGTAAAGAAATTAAGTTAAGCCCCTGATGCCTCTTCGCAGGCGTGCGCCCGTACGTTTTATCTCTCTCATTGTGACGGCGAGGGCCACATGCCTCCCCCTCCCCCTGCCTTCCCCCCCCTCTTCCCTGCGTCCTCCCTCAGCGTCGCGCCTTGGCAATAAGTTCTGTAATCTTCCGCCGCTTCGAGTAAGTGTCCAAGGCGACGCGGCTGAGTTCCTGGACATCTTCGGCCTCCAAGTCCCAGGCCGCCGCGTCCACCATGTCCTTGGCTTGCGCACCCGTCTTGACCCCCACCACGGGGATCACGCCCTGCGCCCGGACCCAATTGATCGAGACCTGCGCCGTGTTCACGCGTCGGCCCAGCTTCTCCGTGTACTTCCCTGCCTGTTCCCGCAACGCCTTGTGGACCGGATACAGGGGCTCCAGGTCTGGGAAGGTATACCGGGGCTTCCGACTCCTCCCTCCGCTCGGGTCCATCATCGTGTAGGTCCCCGCCGCCAGGCCCCCGGCCAAAGGCCTGTTGGCCAGCGGCATGATTCCCAGCTTCTCACAGGCTGCCACCGTGCCGTCCAGCAGGGCAGCCGCAGGGTTCGCGAGGCTCAATTCAAAGGAATTGCTCCGCAAATTGATCCCGTGCTGCTTCGCCACGTCCTTGGCTCGTCGCAGGTCCTCCTCAGTCAAATACCCAATCACCCCGACGTGATCGAGCAGTCGCATCCGTTTTGCCTGGGCGACGGCCTCGAAAATGGCCTTCTCCCCCCCCCAGTACAGGGGCCCGGGCTTGGTGACCTGATACAAGTCCACGCGTGTCGCTTGCAACGCCTCCAAGCTGTGCTCAAGGGCCCTCAGGACCGCCCTGCGTCCACCTCGCACGTCCAACAACCCCTTCCCGAACAGTCGCGCCTGGTAGCTGGTGGCGATGAAAGGCCGGACTTGCTTGACCCCACTCTGGAGCTTCAGTTGCCGCTTCTTCCAATGGGCCACCATTTCCCCCAAGAAATCCTCGCACGGGTACAATTCCCGAGCATCGAACATGGGCAAGCCGGCTTCTTCCAGACAAGTAAAAGCCTCCTCGATGTCTTGTTCATTGAAGGCACCGCAGCTCATTTGCGAGCGCTCCATGGCATTGGACGGGTACTGTGGCCATGGGAGGGGCAGAGAAGAGAGTTGAATCGCACGTATCCCAGAGACGATGAATGAGGGAAAATCGCAATCTCCCCCTACCATCTTTCTCAATTCTGACGATTTCCTCCACAGAGTTGCTTTCGCCGATGATTCTTGGGTCTTTTCCCCTAGCTACCCACTTACATCTCCGTAGAAAAATCCATCGCGACGATCTCCCCAAGAATACGTGCCAATCCCGATAGCACCCGTGTAGAAATGTGAATCTTTGGAGAATTTTGTGTCTTTCTTAGGCTCCTCCGGCTGCTTTGGTTCCTTGTTGAAACGAGATTGACGCCGCCTGCTCCCCAGCCCAGCACGCTCCCCGTCGGGAGGCAAGGATGCGCTGCGAAGCGCGGTTGAAAAGCCTTGATCCAATTTCAATATCCCGCCATCCCTTACCACCAACGATGGCGATAAGAAGTGATGTGGCTGAGCTGGCATTTGAAAGGCGAAACTTCTTCTTAAAGCAGGGGAAAGGGCCACTGCAGCAGCCACAATGCGGCAGGCGGACTTAACCATCTTGTTCTTCATCTGCAAGCTTTCCCTGACGGGACCAAGCACTTCCCTGTGCCTCGTGGTAAAAGACGGGGCGCTTTAAAGAGATGTATGTGTACCAACGTCCTGACAAGTATGCGCGGCGTGCTTGTAAAAAATAGGAAAGGGCTATGCTGTCCGTCTCCATATTTGAAGCTCAACATCATCGCAGCCATCGCCTGCCAGTGTGAGCGATGCTTACCGCGAGAGGGCGATGGGCCAGGTGTTATGGAAATGTTATATGTTTTGGTTCTTTCAGGCTTCATCACCGAAGTATTTCGAACTGAGAATCGAATTTTCGCATTTTTCAATGCTGTCGTAATGATTTTGTGAGTGATCCACTTCGCTGATGAACATGGTTCGTTTCTCCGACCGCGCTGCCCAAGCTTTGTACGAAGAGGGGAAAAAGGCGATCACTTGAACCCCGTGGAAGCAAACGTTTGAAAAAGAAGCAAAAGTCACACAAATCACAGCAAATGTCTGTTACCCAGAAGTACTTTTGCCAAAAGCAAGATCGCCGTGTAGTCTCCGAAATGCTCCGTAGGATTACGAGTCTCTCGATCGGTCAATCAATGTTAGTTACCAGTGTACATACGCAGAAACCTATCCATCTATAGCCATTTACTGGAGATTATGCCTTTGAGGCCTGCAACTCTTCTTGTTGCACAATTGATCCTCCTCTTCCCCCCCGTCTGAAACCTGCGAGAAAGGAAAAAGACGACCTCTTCGTTGGACTAGTGCCGGAGATAGATTTATCACTATTTCCTGATCTTTCTGCCGCTCTGGTCACGCCTGCTCCTGGTGCTGATTTACAATTCTTCCCTTCGCCTAGATCCGCGGAAGCTCGGGCTGCTGGAGACACCACTTCCTTGCTGTCTTTGTTCGTCTCAGAGACCCCCACCGGGAGCCCGCCCGAGGTGGAAGCTGACAGGGCCTCCATGTGCGAGCCCTGTGCCAAGGGAAGAGAGGGAGCCGCCTGAGCCGTCGAGGATGTCGGCGGACCTTTAAGGCCTGCACTGAGGTGCGGTCCATAATTTCGAACCGATGAAGTGATGAACCGAGAGTAGGCTGCTTCCCTCTCTTGCACCAGTGCCTCCGTAACCTTACTCTCCTCGTCCACTTTGGCCTTAATGGCCTCGAAGGCAGCCTCGGCACGATCGTACTGCTCCTTGAGCAGCTCAATTTCGCCCTTTTTGGCGTAGAGCTTGTCGTCCATTTCCCTCATCGTTTGCACCAGGAGGGGATCGAGATGAGCCCGCATGATGGTGATCGTGTAAGAGGATCCCGTGTACCAATTGTCCCCGTACACGCAGAGCAGATGCTCCCCAGCCTGAATGGAGCGAGCCTCCAGGGTGAGGATATTGAGGCGGGAAAAGAGGAGGGGATCCGTTTTCTTTATCTCATAATTTTCGCTGGTCCCGTATGAGGTGATTGTCTGGAAGGGCACCAAGAGCAGGTCTGCCACGGTGTCTTTCTTCTCGTGATGCGGGCTGCTTTCCTGCATGTAACGGACACTGCCGTCCGCTTCGAAACAGATCAGCTTGAATCGATCTTGACTGGAGGAGCAACAGCTGACAATGACACCGTTCGCCGCGTCTGCTTCCGATAGTTGCAGCCGATAAAAATTTCCTCGCTGCGCAACTGTTTTACCGACCATGGAAAAGCCTGGCTTTAAATTGACGACCCGCTGCCCTTCCTCCCGCTTTCCCTTCTCCTTGCCCCGGTTCTTGGCCCGCACATCGTTGCATAAATCCTTAGCCTTGATCAATGTCTCCGCATTGACTTGCGTCTGAAAATTTGGACCAAATCTGGTAATAATGGCAAACACAACCTTTTGCAGGCTGTTTAAATTTTCCAAATCCAGACTCTCTGTGCTGTCGTCAAACATTTCTGACGTGTCTCCTCCGCTCAAATCGTAGCGTCGCCGTTTATTTGGATCCGATAAAATTGCATACGCTGTAGAAATTTCCTTAAACTTTTCGCCCGTCGGGGCATCCTTTAGGTTGCGATCGGGATGATAGCGCAAGGCCAGGATCCGATATGCTTTAGTGATTTGATTTATTGACGCGCCTTTCTCGACCCCTAGTACCTGAAGACATGGATGGATGGCGAGATTAGGGGAAGTCAAGTCTCCAAAAGGAAGCGCATATATGCTTTTTGATCGCCGTTCGTGGCTATCGGCTCTGAGGATATTCCTGCTGCCCCATAAGAGTCTGAATGAGGTCACTTACATGTCAGTCGCGTGCCACTACAAACACAAGCATCGAATCTGTTTTTGCTTACCGTATAGAAGTTTTTCGTCTGTTTAGAACGATCAGCACGGCGGAGATGGTCAGCCATCTATTCAATCTGGTTGAAAATGAAAGCTGCGGCGCCCTCGACTGTATCGTTGTTGGAAAAGCGCATCTGAGGGTGAGTCCTTCAACGTAGATCGGGACTTTATGTCGATCCCCGTTGAAAACGTGTACGTATTAAAAATTCGTGATTCATCTTGATTTGATTGCATACTTTTACGATGCCGCATCGTAGCCAGACACAGTGTTTCTCATCAATAGGAACGAAGCTTAACTATGCATGGGCCTACCTAATTCCTCCCTGTCCTCCTCAAAGAATACTAGAGGACATACCTACTCTTTCAAATAAATTATCCACGAACACAACTCGAGCCTCTACCCATAAAGTTAAGGAACGCATAAAACACACGTGCGCGTCTCCACAAACACAGTGATTTGGCCTGCGGATTAAGCCTAAACGGCCATCCGCCAGTAACGGTCAGGCCTTAACCGATCTCGTCATGACTGCTTTCTCTGTCCCAGAACTCACATGCCGCTTTACCACAAGCTCGACACGAGAAGGCCAAAACGTGCGCCACAAAGCGATGCTCATGGTTTCCAAAATTATTTTGCACCACAGCCAGCCGGAGGTTACTGCTTATCTTCTCCCGAATAGCCCCCTCGGCGAGGTGCTTCATGATGATTATCCCCTTCCTACCCACGGGCCCCAAAGCAGCAATTTTGGGAGGTTTCCTGCTCCATTTGGTCATGGGCACGTAAGTGATGACTCGCTACTTCTCATTTACTGTGAGGACATTGTTGCCATTTTGGAAAGGGATTTTTAATGCCAATTTATGGCTCCTTGGTCTGCACGGGATATTTTGATGTTACCTTCTTCTGCAGCATTGCAATGGTGCAGGTGACTCACGCCTCCATCCTTTTTGGAAAGAGCCAAATTGATGGACTTATCTTTCTTCTTTCCTTCGTTTTTAACCTCACTAATGATACAGCAATTCTTTTCTATCTCTACAACTCCATACCATCATCTACAGGCTCTATACTTTCGGCTCCCTGACCGTGTATCTCACTTCCTACCTACGCGTTTATGATCCTACCGTTACCTACAACAACACCATCGTAATTTATGCGTGTACAATAGCTGGGCAAGCTCTTTTGATGTTTCTTGGTGGAAAAATTGAACTTCGCGTGGGTCCTCGCGCGGCCGCTGCCATTGGTTCATGCTGCTTGGTCGGCGCTCCCTTGCTCTCTTCAATGGTGACGAGCCTGTGGGCGATGACATGCACCTATGGGCTACTGTTTGGGTTTGGAGGAGGCCTGACGTATACCGTGCCCCTCGTGTGCGGGTACCGGTGGGAGCCAGAGCGCAAGGGACTGGTCAGCGGCGTGATTCTGAGCGGCTTCGGCCTCTCCGCCTTGGTCTTCAATCAGATCCAGTCCGTCCTCGTCAATCCGCACAATTTGAAGCCGGACGTGGTCTACAAGGTGTGTCTATGTGAAGATGGACAGCCCATGGCAAAGCCCAGTGTTTCTCCAGGGCTCCTGGCGCAGATTTATGAATTTGCGCTTTTACACGTGTCCCGAATCGGTCTAAACTGAGCCATCTCTTCCACTCTTGTGCCCCCCTTTTTAATTCAGAATAAGCGATACTTCGGGCCCGGCCCTGTGACCGACGCGGTCCCGGGCTTGCTGGTAAAGCTCGGCCTCCTATACTCCCTGCTCTGCGTCACCGGCACCCTTCTGTTGCAGGACCCTATCTACAAGAAGATCGAGGACGGGGCGGAGGAAGAGGAGGAGGACAAGAAAGAGAGAGGCTGTTTGTCCGCTTCCTCCCACTACCTGGACATTGTCGGGGCTGAGTCGACCGCCCTGGTGGCAGCCGGCGACGGGCCCGCTCACGACAGTCGTGTCCACAAGAGAGACGCCCCGTGCGAGGTAGCTGGGGGTTCCTCGCCGCTCCGACGGCGTGGGTGGGAGGAGGAAGGGGCTATGGAAATCTCGACTCTGGAATACCAGCGGTTGCGGGAAGACAGGGAGCCGGTGGGAGAGGGAGGGAAGGGGAGGGAAGGAGGGAGAGGAGGAGTCGCGGTAGGGAATGGAGGACATAAAAATGGTGTCGGGGAAGAGGTAAAGGGAGGAGGGAGGGACTTGGCAGGGAAGGAGCCAAGGTTAGGAGGTACGCAGGTCGATAGGGGCTCAGACAAGGACGTAAACGGGGAAAGGGCCAGGCCGGGAGCGGAGGAGGAGGAGGAGGTGGAGGTATCACCGTCGGAACTCGTCTGCCTGCCGCAAGCGTGGCACGTGTCCCTGTCGTTCACCTTAGGGGCCTTGAGCGGGCTGGTAACCCTGGCCACCTACAAGAGTATCGGCATCTCCACCTTCCTGGACGACCACTTCATGTCCGCAGTTGTGGGCAGCGTGTCCTCCGTGGCCAACGCCCTCGGGCGGATTTTTTGGGGCTGGATGAGCGACCGTGCGGGTGCTTATCGCACGCTCTACATCCTCTGCCTGTGTCAGGCAGGCTTCCTTTTTGCCTGGGGCCTGACGGTGGGCGCGTGGAAGAGCCGGTGGCTGTTTGCGCTCTGCGTCGCCGGGGTGGCCTTCTCCCACGGGGGCAATTTTGCAATTTACCCGGCCCTGATCGCCACCCTCTTTGGGAAGACGAACAGCGCTCCGAATTTTGGGCTGATCTTCTTGTTCTATGGCCTTGCCTCCTGGTCGGGCTCAGTGTCCTACCCTGGTTGTCTCCTGAGCTGACCCCATTGTGCGATGTGCTGGGAGGGATCGCACTGACCTCGGCGGGGTCCGTGTGGGGGCTGCAGGCCTGGTACACACCCAAGCTGAAAGCGGGGGGGAGGCATCCGCTTTTGCGATGAAAGGAGGGGGGTTGTGGACGTGTTGGGGGAAGAGAAGCGGAACGGGGGAGGGAGGAGCCGGGGCTCTCCCTGGAAGACCCCCGGGCCTTGTACATCAGTGAGACCGCTCGGCACCATCGATGATGACGGGTCTCGTGTTACATAGGACAAGGAAAATAGCATATAGCACACCAAATGACCAAGACGTGCCCCGGGCGCAGTTAGCGTCGCTTGTAGGTTGTTCTTTTTCGTGTTTACCTCGGGCCCTGCTCGAACTTTTTGATTCCTGTTACTTACACGGCGTCCGGGCATACGCCGCGCGCCTCTGCGTTTCCTCCTCTCTCCTTTCGCTGGAAAGCCCCCTTCCATCCGTCGGACACACCACTGACCCCTTTCCATAGACCCTTCCAGCCATCCCAAGGTACGAGGCGGCCTTTCGCCTCGTCTGGTGGGCGGCGCTCAGATTCCTGAGTAGAGGCTCGTGCCGGTCATTGACACGGCCCGATTCCACTCGACGCCCGAGCATATAAGCTTTTTCTGCCCCTCCAAATCCTCCTTTCACGCTCCGATCCCCTCCACCCATAACCCTAAAATCGGGACCCCTCAGGAGGCTGGGGCAACCGTCGACTGCCCTGGGTCATCATCTCTCTTCTCAGTTCATTCAAGACACGCTCCATCGTGAAATGTCGGTCCCAATGGCTCAAAATGTGGAGCTTTGACGGGTTGACCACCCCAGTGCTCTGATCGACGCACGGAAGGTTCACTCGACTCACAAATCGGACGAAAGGAGGCTCATTGGGGTATCGATCTCCGCATTCGATTTTAAGTTCAAACAAGCGGCCTTCGAACGTCGTGCCCGGCGGGCCGAAGATGGAACCGTTCCAGGCGACCAGAAAAATGTCTTCCTGGTTCTGTAGGCCTAGGGAAATGGTAGGGTCTTGCCCTTTTTCGGCCTGGTCCAACTCCTCCAAGAGCTTGAAATTCCGGGGCACGATAATTTCATCCTGCTGGCTTCCCGACGCCGGAGGCGCAGCGGCCGTACGGTTGGGGCTTGACATCGCCCGGCCCGGCCACATCCTCTCTCCCTTCCGCTTACCAACCTGTTAGCATGCGTTTATTTTAGAAACATTCGTTGTGTGAGTTAAAGGCTGCCAACCCTAGGTTGGGCAGTGCAGTCCTAGACGATAGCATGACGCTGATTGACCACAGAGACCGTGCTGAGTTCACAAGCAGCCAAAGTATGTGACAATAAAAAGACAAAATCAATACAATCAAATAAGTCGAACACGCGGTGAAGGTGTGTTGGGGACACGAGCGCCTTGCGCAAACATGCGACGGCCTTTGAGCCCTCTGAGGCATCGATTTCTTCCGCGAGTCAGCGACGGAACCGATCCGATCTGCTCACATGTGGAGGACCTGGGACTTGGCGTGAGCGGGAATTTTGATTCGTGGTAGTCGCGTAAACACAAAGCCAAACGAGAGCATATATTGAAACGATGGCAACGTTATGGTTCCTTATTTTTCGATTACCTGCGGGCTTGTTGCGTTGGGATACAAGGCCATCTGAGGTCTTGCTTGAAGGTATGCTTCTCTCTCAAACTCTATTTCGCCTCTTCCCCAATCTAAGATGAACACGCATAAACTTTCAGGGCTTAACATTTTCAACATTTTCCGTTCAAGTTTTCGGAAAGCAGGGTAGGTGCCATCTCTGAGGCAACGAGGACTTACACAATCTGCTCTCCGAAAGGCAGGTGAAAATGACAAAATTGGATATATGTGAGAGAGAAAGTCAATTCAATATCTTTGCGGAATCACAATGTATCATTTTATAATTTTGCTGCAATTGACACCCAGGACTTGCCTTGTTCTCGACCATTTAACATAATGGGTTGGACGGCGCGCATGACTGCCCTATGCCGTTCCCGTTCTGCTCTCAGGTGTATGTCGGAA